ACCATGGTGCTGGATATAATAATTTGGATTTTAATAACTTTTTTTAAAGTGGATGATAAGATTTGTTATCGAAGTAGATCCTAAACAGCACCTTGAATTTGGGAGGATACATCTAGATCAAGGTAACCAGGTAATTTTGTGTGTATGCATATGTGTGTGCATGAGAGTGAGAGAGATCACACTGTTGAAGATTTACTTTTGGGTTGGTTGAAGCTGTTGCTTCCTTTTGAAGCTGTTTCCCTTTGAAGAAGGGAATGGGGTTCTAGGCAGAGCTTGGATCTGTCCCTGCTTTCCCACCTTGTGAGGTGGGAGTGCATGATCGGAACAGGGAAGAGGAGGGGATTTGAAATGGTTTCTGTAGCCCTGGAGAGTACCCTAACCTAACTCAGCTGTAAAATTTGAGAGAGAATGCCACATCTTCTGAAGTTTACAGAGCCCTCATGTGAACCTAGCTCTTTCCTAACAAAAGTGGAGGAAATTTGCAAAGAATGTTACTGTTGCTATGCGGGCATTTTTAATTACTTCGAGTGAAGGTTTTTTGTTTGAAGCAAAAGGAATGTTTTTCAGCTAACTAGAAAAGATCAGGGCTTTGGGGTTTTTTGGATACTATTTTTTTTATATCTGTATCAGTTGGCATCAAGATATATTTACTTATGTCTAATAATGTTTCTTACTCAGTTGTGTTATTTTTTTTCATATTCTAAAACTCCTCCTTTGAACAGGCACTCGAAGGCTGCATAGAGTGTGGTTTTTTTCCCCCTTAAAAAACAAAACAAAAAACTGAGGGCTTCACAGAAGAGGGAGAAGGAACAGCAAAGAGCAGGCAACCAAACCCATGCCTTAGGATACCACCCCTAAGGTGTGGTGGTGATGTCTGTGCTGGCCTGCTAATTTATGTAGGAGATATTAGTGTCTGAGATCAGTCAGTACTTGAGTGTAGCATTGAAATGCAACAAGAACGGGTACGGTATTATAAATACCTTCCATTATATTGCTCAAAATTATTCTTCAGAGGTGAAATATGTCATTCCTCATTCTCCTGTTCAAGAGCAGATTGTAAAAGCATACACAGTAAAGCTGGTAGGATAAGAGATTTCTATTCATCTCATTTTCTGGCATACGCAATTCTCAGACGTGCCTTGGCAGTATCTGCATTTAGTAGCAGTGTTCCTGGAAGCTGGCCCAGTCACATGGCGCTGCTGGAACAAGTGACATGTGAATGATGCATTGGCTGAGACCTGTGTTGAACGCGGGAGGAGGTGGGGCGGCGCTGCTGGCCGGGCGGCCTGCTCCTCTGCGCTCAGCAGAGATGCTGGAACGAGTACCGCTTGCTCCTGTCAGGCTGCTGCTGTTTGGCTCAACCTGTTTGTCTTTCAGTGCAAACTGGAAGTTGGTTATTGGAAGTGCCTTTAAAAAGACCAAGCTCTGTCCCTCTCAACAAGAATGTTAAATTAACAAGTACACCTTCTGTTCTTTGAAACTGTCGAGATGTATTACTGGGAAACAACTTTGACAAAATATTTGACTTCATTTTGATAAACTGAGATCTCCTGGCTGTTAGAAGCTACTGGGATTAGGGAGAATAGCTCTTGTGGGATAGAGTGGGGAAAGTTGATTAGGACTAAGCAAGAATTTTTGAGAAGAGACTGGGTTATGAATCTGGAGAGCTTATCTTTCTGCACTTTTAAATTTTACCCTCTGCTTGAAGTCCTAGTTTTAAAATATGCATCAATACTACCCTCTTAATTGTAAAATTGAATTAAATATGTGGATTTAACTTTTCAGTGCAGTTATGACTCTTGATTTCTTGTCTCTTTGCTAGCAAGGAGCCCCATTTCTGGGGCTAGCGGGTGAAAGTGCTCTCTCTGTGCTGTTTATGTTACCACTTCAAGCATGTTGTTTTGGGTTTTTGCATTAGCACTGAAACACTCTCTGAAACTTAGCTCCCAAACTTCTGACTTATCTATAAGGCAATGACCCGTGAATTTAGTGTCCAAACTTAAGAGTGTTGTTTGAGTTCTGAAACACTGATTTAATAGGCTATTCTTGATGTTTGTGGCAAGCTGATGTGTGCAATTTATGGTGACTTTAACTTGGTATAGAGCTGTTTGTGTAAGCCTCTATCAGGTGTTTGTGGTTTTTGTGGTCAGTTGTTTGGTATTGCTTTCTAGCAACTGCAGTAGTGAAAAATGCTTCCAGTTTTGCAAAAATTCAGTATAACCTCTCTCACTAAGCCAGGTAGTCTGTGGAGTTCCATGCTCGCAGAAAAAATACATCTAATGTTGTTTTACTTTTCATACAGCACTATGTAGAACCGTTTTCTAAAAGAATGGTAACCTTTCTGTACAGCGATCTGATATGGAGAATTGTACTTTCCCCACCACAACTCCTTCTTGCAGTAGAATCTAAACTGAGAGAGAAGTGCTGTAAATAACATGTTCCTTCACTTTTTGAATGACTAATCTTGTGTGAAACTAGTAACTATGTATCATACTTAAACAAGGTGGTTCATCTGAGGTTAAATAGTACATTACCATATTAGGACTGCTTTAAATGATTATAGAAAAAGAACGTGATGTGGCATCAGCACGACTCTTCCATATTCAAGATTTTTAAAAGAGGGGAAGTAACTTTGGGTAAATTCTTAAAATGGGGGGGGGGGGGGGGGAAGGTCACATCTTCTACATGAACTGTTCAACAGAATGAAGAAAGGAAATTCATCTTTAAGCAATCCAAAGCAGATTCCACTTCACCTATAAACATAAGCTGTTTTGGCACTCATCCCGAATGTCTGGGTTTGGGGCATTTTTTTATATAGTGATTTTGCTAAATGTATCTTTCACCCCCCACCCCCCAAATCCTCACTGAAACAGCAGGCATGGTTCAAACTTTGTTTTTCTATATTTCTCTAGTTGCTTTCTAAAAGATATAGTGGAAAATAAAACATTACTGGAGACTTTGAAAAGATTGTATTAAATTTGAGAACTGTTCAAATTTTAGTGGACAGTTGTAATTCATACAGAAAACTACTCTTAGTTAGGTAACTTCATTGTATATATTTCCTCTTTCTCCCATCCCAAATTTCCTTGCTAAAGTATCACCTTAAATTGGAAACATCTAGGCAATTATCTGAAGAGTCAAGATGAAGGGCAGGAAATGACCTACAAACAGAGCAGGTGACATGCTGTCACATAGCCTAGAAAAAGAGTGATTCAACACTGCTTCCCAAAGGACTATATCTGGAGGGCAGGACACTTTCTTCCATTTTATGTATTATCTCCTCTTTGGACTGGGGGTGATCTCCTGTGTGGCTTTGCTCCTGGGTGCCACCTTCCTTCC